ATCACCTGTAGTAACCGGATTGCTCGTGGACAACGCCATCTTTAGAAGCAGAGTAGAGTACGGTTGGTTCGATGAATCCTTGCGAGTTGAATGCGAAGAAAACACAAATGAAACCGAACGCTAGATGAATTACATTCCTTGTCTTATATTCTATACAAACCATCACTTTTTTGCTTCTGAAAATTCGAATTTATTCCTCAACAAGTCAACTCTCGTCACAGTGTTTGTCACGAATGTTCCAAAAACATTCCGCATGAACAACGAATTCACAATAAAACAGGAATGAATACCAATTGCATGTGACAGCGCAAATACAACAGAAAAGTACTGTACATTAATGAAATAATACGGAAATACAACATCAAAGTTGTTTACACTATTGTTGAATGGGGGAATACGATGAAAGGTTTGATGTTGAATTGATTGATACAAAAAGAGTAAAACTGGATGGAAACTTCCAATCTATTTCTCGGAAGAAGTTGAAAACTCAGTTGATTTAGGCAAATTTCGAAGCGAATTATTAGTTCGTTCTTGCGACGAATATATGCCGACGAAATAGTGACGAAACATTAATATCGTTAGCGAAGGTTTCATGATAATCCACCCATATAAATAAGTCGGCGTATTCAGTTATGAGAGTGCTAACAATGCGATCAAACACACATAGACGTAGGTGTAAATCTGGGTCTAAATCCCCGAATAATTTTAATCGTACAATTGCCTCACTCACTTGCATTTCTACTTCCATTCAAAAAATATTTTCCTAATAACAATCTAATCGGAAATCATCAATTAAATGATTGTAAATAGGAGGCAAAATACATAAATGAGGAGTTGATATTCAAATAATTGCAATTAGGTAGTACTTACAATTAGAGGATACATCTTATTTTTTGAAAGGTTCAGTCTTATCCAAATTCTTTGTAATGAATGTCAGCAGAAAGATTATTTAAAATGTGCTGAAAGCAAAAACATCTTTGCTTTTTGCGAACTGTGTATTTGATGAAGTAAGTCATTATTCCTTCGATGTTTGGTTCCGCATTTTTGCAGTTCGAGTTAACCGAAGATCTGACTTGTAACAGAAAACAATACATTGGAATAATAGAAGACTTGATCTCCCTGCAGGCTTGACCGATGAACGTCGGATATCTGTATATGAGTCAATGTGTCATTGATCCTACAGATGAACGTGCGAGTCGATGCTTGTGACAAGAATACTGACAGTGGCTGAAAATGTTGATAAAAATGCAATAATACTCATATGAAATAATGGCAGTTATAATGATAATGCGATAACGAAGAACAGTGCTGAAAATGATACGAGCTCAAAATTACTTCCATTGTCTATTTAAACAAGTGTTTGTATGTATTTACTTGGATGGACGTGTTCTACATGAATCTTTTTACTAACGGTTTATTTGATGTTTTGGTTTGCGAAAGAGGTTTTTTATTCGATGTAAGATAGCAACAGACGAACACTTATCAAATTCTACGGTACCCGATCGGCTATCATGTGCTGTAAATGATTAGCAATGCAATGCAATGATTAGCATCGTTTATGATCAATTTTATGATCAAATAAGATTATCAAACGTCAGTTCTATTATAAGTTTGGTTTATGGCTGTCTTTATGAACTGATAAAACGATTATGTAGAAGTTTATTGGTGCTCCAAACCGCGATAACATAAAAGATATTTTATTTGCATTGCGCACGATTAATTTCAGAAGGTTATTATCGCATTTTAATGCCGTCACCAAACAATTGCATCAACTCATCTCTTTATGCATCGTTTNGATGCGGAAGTTTTGAGGAGAGCGTTGTTTTTTTGGAACGCTATTAAATACGCTTTTTATGATATATCATCAGTTTGCTTCCATCAACTATATCTTTCACTCATCGCCAATAATAGCACAAAATAATGAGATGAATAAAGGAAAACAAATTAGAGTATCGATTGTTTGCTAAATAATCGATTGTTAACAGCAAACAGATCAGCGAATGATGTCAAACATTTCATTGCCTCTGATGATTTGATAATCAATATGATATTTCAATTTCGAATCAACATTGCTTCTATTTCGTTCATGTTGTGTATAATGCATGAGATCGTTTCAAATTCTTGCTCAGTTCACATTCAAAACACAAAATCGCTTTTTCATTCATATTTCGTGATGTGAAATTATTGTTTAATACATAAAGAATGAACGGCAGTGTTTCTCGTATAAACGCTTTTCAGTCTTTATGATATTTATTTAATCGGTTCTTTCACAGAGTTTTATGATGCAATTATGATGAAGTGTGCAGCTTCTCAGCAAGACAAACGTACTTTGTCACGTGTGACAGTCTCACATTGCGTTCACGATTCTTCGACTGATAACAACATTCACTCTCGTTTCCTTGAAAGGCGCAATGCACTGACTTTTACGATACAAGTGTCGTAAAATCACTTTTTATTTACTGTCCACAAATTGATTTGATAACAAGCAAACAGTATGGGGAATGATAGTTTGATAACTTTACAGATAACTTTTTGCATGAATGAGTTCGCATTCTTCTTGCACTCTAACTTCTGATATTT